TTTGATCGAATAGTTGGGATTCCTCTTTTTTCTCCATAGTTGACCAGTATCCATAACAATTAGTTGTATGGCATCAGACGTCTCAACCTTTTTATTCAGTTGAGCTTGCAGGTCATGGATATCTGAGCCAAATTGATCTATCTCTTGCCTGAGCTCAGTTCTTCCTTTTATCAGTTGTTCTGTCATATTTGAAAGACCATCACAGAGAAACTCATGAGATTTTATCAGTTGAGCTTATTCCTCTAGCCAAGATTGGCTTACTATATCTGCTTCTTCTAAATTATCTTCTGGTGGGAATTCGCTCTCTTCAGCCACTTCATCCGCCTCGACCTTCATTCTCATGATTACTGTACTAATTCTTTGTATAGCCTTTCGATTTTCATCTTGTTGCTCGGCTACTTGCCTCATCATCATGTCATGTTGCTCGGCTACTTGCCTCATCATGTCCATAATATGAGCCGTGCTTTCCATATCCTACACTTCCTTGCTCCTATCAAACTCATAAACATTATTAGAAACATTATAATAAGAACTCTGAGAAGGATAATAAGAATTAGGACAACCATACCAATCTCCACCTTTACCACCACACATATTACAAATATTCCACCCATAAGATTAAGATTCACAACTTTGCCACAAGTGTGGTCCTCCACAATATGGACAAGAATCACCATAATAAGAATAACCAATATTCGACCAATTATCATTCCAAGATGCCATATCAACAAAGATAATAAATATTAAACTAAAATAAAAACTTAAAGATTTGAATAGACAAAGAGTAAAAATCTAATCTAGTAGACTAGTTAATTTCTAAGCCCCCGACAATGGCACCAAAAACTTATTGCTCCCAAACGCACACGCAATTATACTTGGTCGATATACTGTAGAGCCCAAACGGAGTTCTGAATGAAAAGTTATTGTATTTTACTAGACAATGCGTTGTATGCCCGCTCGATTCTCTATTTCGTTCTTAACTATCATCCATTGATCCCCGAACACAATTCCGGCTTGATTCCTTGGGCTTTCACTCAAACTTCAAAGCTCCAAATCACTTGAATTCATTCCATAATACCTACATAGCTCAGAATTACTCCTACAAGGCATAAAACACATATTTAGTGCAAAACACTAGCGATTAAAGCTCAAACTCAATTAAAGTGCAGTAAATTAGAGTGTAATAAGCGACTAAAATACACAATTATAGACTATCATCATTAATCATCTCCATAAACACATAAAAATGCACAAATAATGTAAGCTCAACAACGTTAAGCTTCAAGCCATGGACGAAATAAATATCGAAAGTAAAGATGGACCTTTATTGCTGAATTTGCTACGTATACAGTGAAAGGAAGTCTCTGATGCAGCAAACCAAAATGAGCTAACAACCTGAGCCTCAAACCAGTAATGGAACCTCGAACAATTCAAATCGAATGAGTTGGACGACGATTTCGGGCTGATTTTCACACTGATTTGGGATAGTTTCAGGGCATTTTGGAGCTGGGTTTACTGCTGGGTTTGAGCTATGTTTCGCTAGTTCAATGGAGGGTTGCCGTATTTTCAAAAGAGATAGAAGGTGAAGGAGAAGAGGAGAAGGGCAACAACAGCTTCAGTCATGGTCGTCGCCTCCGGCAACGGCAACCATGGAAAGGGCAAGAGTTGCTGAGTTTTTAGCCAACATAGAAAACGGGTAAAAATGACTTTTAAGAAGTAGAAGATGAAGCTCTATTTTTCTTTTCTTTCTAGTTTCGCCCAGATCTATTTTCGTTCCCCTAATCCCTTTTCGTTTTTGTCCAAATTTGTTCCTCCCTTATTCCCATTCACGTTTCCCCTCTGTTCTTTGTTTGTTATGGCTCTTCCTAATTAAGAAAATGGGGTAGTTTTTATGGTTCAAGGTTTTGAGAGGAAAGGGGTCCTTTCTTAAAGGGAATGAAGGAAAGTAAATGGGGTCGTTTGGAAGAAGGCAACGGCTAATAAGAGCTCTTAGGGTGCCGCTATTGTCTCTCTTTCTATTGATTTTGGAAAATAGTCCTTGCCCATCAGATTTTTAGAAGGGAAATGGCTGCTGCTCTCTCTGTTTTTGTCCAAACGAAGAGACGATGGGTGTGTGGCTCAGGGGTCTACTGCGACTCTTAACTTCTTACGGTGGGCAGCTCTTGTGTGTGAGAGATAGGGTTAGGATTTTAGTTATAATATGGCTTATATATGAGTGTGGGGAGTAATTATGGCCCTTGGATCTAAAGGATTTTATGGCTGAGATTGAAAAATAAAAATGAGACAGGTCAATAGATAGGGTTGTAGGTCAAACTGATGGGTCATGGGTTTGGAAAGATTGGGCTTAAGTAGCTCAAAATTGGGCTAAATATGCTTGGGTTTTTGATAAATCTGAAAATCCTAGCCCAAAACTCTACTTGTTCTAAAAATTAATAACCTCAACTTAAATATAAAATAAGACAAAGTAAAACTATTTTTGTGCTTTTAATTATTTATTTTTTATATTTTTTTTCAAAAGTCTTAATTAATATAAAATGGACTTAAATTCTAGAAAATTAAAATTAACTCAAATAAATGCGTAAAAATAATAAGAATACTTAAAAAAATACGCGGGTCAAAAATTACGTGCTTACAGCTGCCCCTTTTTGCTTGGAAACATGAAGAGTTTTCGGAGCAAAGAATAATAAGCAATGCAATTGATTTATGACTCGACGCTTATTCAAAAGAAAAGAAAGATGGGTAAAAGATTGTGACCGAGCTCTGGTATCTAAGCTGCCTACATATCCTTGACTATAAAGGAATCAGGTCACGTGTAGTTCAGAAATGAATGAAGTGATGGAGTGTGTGGAGAGGACGAGAGAGTCGAGTGAGGTACCGTTCCATCGATATTCCGGTCCACGGTCCCGTTTACAACAAAATCAAAAATGAAAAAGACTAACTAAGCCTGTCAGCTATATATGAGTTACAAGATTCCTTTCTATAAATCTTCTTAAGCTTGATCTTGAGTCTTGAATGGTTCTTCATGCAGACTTTGATTTGAACCTTGATGCTTGCTAGTTGCAGGTGTTGATTCACTCTTCCATGACTTCTTCGGATCAAGATCGGACATGCAGTGCTCGTGACCTCAGCCACGTCTTGAGCAGTTCACATCTTTATTTGCTTCTGCATTTTGGATTCACTTTTTTTATTCTGGATTGAGACTACTTCTGTTGGTCATCTCGGACTGTCGACTCGCATTCTTGCTGCGAGCTTCTGCTACTTCTAACTTGAATTGAATTCTGAAATGACTTCCCTCCTTCTCCAGGTGGGCGCCTGCTACTGACTTGAAACTTGTAATAATTCCAAAACGAATTCCCTCGTTCTCCAGGTGGGTGCCTGCAATCGAAACAACAAAACAAAGAAAATTTTCTGCCCCTGTTTGCACTCGGAAGATTTGTGAGTTATTAGCAAAACTGTAACCCACTTATGCTATTGATGCAATAATGAGAGTAAACTAAAGATTCGACTAGGATGTGTGTCTCCGGTGAGTAAAACCAAGAAACTTTGACTAGCAAATACGTCTGCTAAAATAAAACATGAATGACCCAAACTAGGAAGTGCGTCTCCTAGGGATGAAATCTCAATTTAGGAAGTGCGTCTCCTAAAATAAAAATATAACTTGAAAGACCCGACTAGGAAGTGCGTCTCCTAGGGATGAAATCTCAATTTAGGAAGTGCGTCTCCTAAAATAAAAATATAACTTGAAAGACCCGACTAGGAAGTGCGTCTCCTAGGGGTGAACTTCAGTGACTCAAACTAGGAAGTGCGTCTTGTCACACCTCCTTTTTACCACCCGAGAGGGAAGTATATGGGAGTTTTTCCAATTAAAGTGATATTATTCGAAATGGGATTATTTATTTATTTTTCAGAGTCGCCACTTGGGATAATTTATGGTGTCCAAAGCCACCGATTTTAAATCCCGAATCGAGGAAAGATTGACTCTGTTTTATTGTCCGCGAACACAGAAATCCGGGTAAGGAATTCTGTTAACCCAGGAGAAGGTGTTAGGCATTTCCGGGTACCGTAGTTTTAACACGGTCGCTCAACTGTTATTATTAGCCTAATTATCTGATTTTTAAAACACTTTTAAACCTATGCGCATTTTAACTTTAAAAAAAACGCCTTTATTTATTTAAGGAATTATTTCAAAGTTATTTAAAATACATCGCAAGCCATGCTACATGAAATGCACCGTGGTTCACGACACGTCCTATTTAACCTTGTTGGAAATTAGAACCGGGCCACATGAAATGTACCCTCAGATTTTAATAACTGTGATAACTATATAGTTAATGCGCCTAAAACAAACTACGAAGTTCATTTTTAATATCTAAATTAACATTTGTAAGGGCCGTAGATGATTTAATTTGCTTATGGCACACCTCAAATCTATTTTCTCTAGTGATTTATAGTCTTACTAGGGCCATAAATTATGGGTCTTGTTTGATATGGCACACCTCGAGTTGTTATTTTATTTTAAGAAAAAATTGCACTTAAAGCACATTACGAACTTCATAATTATTAAAATAAATTCAAGGTTAATGGCAGATTGTGGAAAATCGAGCGCAAGCGGAAAAGTCATTCCCATGCCTCTTTATGGCCTTGCCCCATTCTTTAGTCCCAATGGCAATGAATGCCCAATTTCAACTATCTCACAAACGTATAACTGATTTTCAGCAGCATACCAAAGAGGTGAACGCATCAAATAAGAATTTCACTCAGATGGGATCATGGCATTATTACAAATGGATTATTTGACCAACTTTATATCATTTTCCCTTCCTATGGCAGTACTCATGCATGAACCACATAGTGAAAAGAGAAAAAAGGCATGAACTATTACATAAACCCTTTGAACTCTTATTTGAACCAATTCACAACTGATGGATTTCTATTTAAATATTTTTTCTACATCATGCTACCATCATAACTAAATCAAAACAGACGGTACACGATACTCATTAACCTAAACAACAACTTTGCATTAAATCCTCGAGAAGAGGAAACTCATACATACAATGTAACCTGCCAGAATATCAGCATGCAGTGTAAGGCCTTATAACATGCAGTACAACATCCTTTAATATCCTATAGTCCAAATGAGATTTTAAACAGAACAATTTCCTACAACATTTCGATCCTACTAGGCCACATTACTGTATACATTCACAACTGAATTCTAATTAGTTAAATGGAACATGGGCAATAGAGTAAAACAACAAGAACCAAATCAGCTAATATCAATCACTCCACGTGTTCATTATGCCATTTTAGAAGTAAGAGGCAGACAGTCCACAGCTTCACATGCACAACCGATAGCCAAAGATGTTCAGCCTACATACCTGGACACAGATAAACCAAACAAAGGAATAAACCTTGAGCTCGACAAAGAATAAGAGAAGCAGCAAAACCAGCAGCAAAGATCAGCAATAATAATCAATGTTAGCTTCAAATTAAATAATTTCCTTCATGCCAAATCACTAGAAATCGAATAGGGAGTTTCCTTTTAACTTTTTTTTTTGAAGAGAAAAGAGTGAAAAAGTTGAAGACTAGCACTAATATTTTTCAGACTAGCACTAATAGGTTCAGTGATTAACAAGAAAAGAAAATATTCCAGAACTAAATGATTTTTTTTTCTTTACAATTAACCCTTGATTTATGTTATTGACTAATTGAAGATAAAGACAAGCTAAGCCTAATCCAACTAACCGAAATAACGAAACAAATGAAAGCAGTAATATGTATAAGAAGAAAAACAGAAATTGATGTAAGACATAGAATCAAGAGAGAAAAGAGGGGAAGGGTACCAATTTATGCCGGAGTGACTTGACAAATTGAAACAACTCGATAAACAGTGAAGGGATTCGAGGTTTGTCCGGAGTCCGATGAATCAGTCAAAATACGACGGGCCTTGAAATGAGCTAAAATTGATACTAATCAATTGTTCTCATTGAGAACAGTTGATTGGCATAAATTCCAACTCAAATCGAACCCTAAAACCGTTTCAAATTATGAAAGGGAGATGAACTAGGTTTTTTCTATTTTAGATTTGAAATTGGGGTAAATGGGTGAAGATTTTGGGGAAATCAACACCGGCCCAGTGTTTGGAGGAGTATGGGGAGTGTATGGTCGATTTTTGGTGGAGTTTGGAGCTCTACCGCCGCCAATGGCGAAATCCGGTGGGTAGCGGACGGTGGTAAGAGATGAGATGAAAAAGAAGCTAAACAGGGCCCTAGGTTAATTTGATTATATTCAGACAATTTTAAACAAAAAAGGAAAAACATCACAGCCGTTGGATAAAATAAGATGAAGGGCCAAGATCTTTTTTAAACACTTGAGCTTAAAACGACATAGTATTGACTTGATACTACGTCGTTTTAACTGTCTCAATGCCTGAAGGATTTGGACCAGGTATGGATTGGGCCTGGGCGAAATTGCTTTGGGTTTTCAATGAACTGGCCTAATTCCGAGACTTTAAATCAAACTCTCAATTTTCCATTTCTTTGTTTCTTCTTTTTTTAAAAAAAAATTATTTTCTTTTCCTTTTTAATTAATTAAAACCTAAATTAGACTCTTAAATTAAACTAGGTTGTAAAATTAAGCTAAGTATCTGCTATAATATTTACAAAATTAATTACTCCTAAATTGAGAGAGGAAATTGCTAATTTAACATTAAAAGGCTAAAAATGCAAAAGTGAGCCATTTTTGTGATTTTCATTTTTTATAAAACAACTAATTTACTAATTAACCTAAAAATGTAAAAATAAATCCCAAATACAATGCAGGATATTTTTTGTATTTTTCATGATTTAAATAAAATAAACATGCACAGACAAAAATAATTAACAAAAATCCTACGAAAAATCTACAAAAAATGCAAATAATGGGGAAGAAAATTATTTTCTTAGAGCTTATGGGAGTAATTCATATAGGAAAAAAATCATGTGCTCACACGTCTCCTAGGAATGAACTTAAATGACTCAAACTAGGAAGTGCATCTCCTAGGGGTAAAATTTCAATTTAGGAAATGCGTCTCCAAAAACAAAATATAACTTGAAAGACCCAGACTTGGAAGTGCGTCTCCTACGGGTAAAACCTCAGTGACTCAAACTTATATGACCCAAACTAGAAAGTGCATCTCCTGAAGCAAAATATAACTTGAAAGACCCAGACTAAGAAGTGTGTCTCTTAGGGGCGAAACTTCAATGATTCAAACTAGGAAGTGCGTCTCCTAGGAATGAATTTAAATGACCAAAGCTAGGAAGTGCGTCTCCTAAAAAGTATAATCTGAAAGATCCCTACTAAGAAGTGCGTCTAACTTCAATGACTCCAACTAGGACGTGCATCTCCTAGGGATAAATTTAAATGACCAAAAACTAGGAAGTGCGTCTCCTAAAGGTGGAATCTCAATTTAGGAAGTGCGTCTCCTAAAACAAAATATAACTTGAAAGACCCAGACTAGGAAATGCATCTCCTAGGGGTGAAACTTCAATGACTCAAATTAGGAAGTGCGTCTCCTAGGAATGAATTCAAATGACCAAAGCTAGGAAGTGCGTCTCCTAAAAAGTATAATCTGAAAGATCCCTACTAGGAAGTGCGTCTCCTAACGGGTAAAAATTCAATGACTTCAACTAGGATGTGCGTCTTCTAGGGATGAATTTAAATGACCAAATAAACTAGGAAGTGTGTCTCTTAGGGGTGGAATTTCAATTTAGGAAGTGCGTCTCCTAAAACAAAATATAACTTGAAAGACCCAGACTAGGAAGTGCATCTCCTAGGGGCAAAACTTCAATGACGCAAACTAGGAAGTGCGTCTCCTAAAGGTGGGATCTCAATTTAGGAAGTGCGTCTCCTAAAACAAAATATAACTTGAAAGACCCAGACTAGGAAGTGCATCTCCTAGGGGCAAAACTTCAATGACGCAAACTAGGAAGTGCGTCTCCTAGGAATGAATTTAAATGACCAAAACTAGGAAGTGTGTCTCCTAAAAAGTATAATATGAAAGATCCCTACTAGGAAGTGCATCTCCTAACGGGTAAAACTTCAATGACTCCAACTAGGACGTGCGTCTCATTGGGATGAATTTAAATGACCAAAAACTAGGAAGTGCGTCTCTTAGGGGTGGAATCTCAATTTAGGAAGTGCGTCTCCTAAAACAAAATATAACTTGAAAGACCCAGATTAGGAAGTGTGTCTGCTAGGGGCGAACTTTAATGACTCAAACTAGGAAGTGTGTCTCCTAGGAATGAACTTAAATGACTCAAAACTAGGAAGTGTGTCTCCTAGGGGTGAAATCCCAATTTAGGAAGTGCGTCTCCTAAAAGTATATCCTGAAAAACCCAAACTAGGAAGTGCGTCTCCTAGGGGCGAAACTTCAATGAATCAAACTAGGAAGTGTGTCTCATAGTAATGAACTTAAATGACCCAAACTAGGAAGTGAGTCTCCTAGGGATAAACCTCAATTTAGGAAGTGTGTCTCCTAAAAGTATAACTTGAAAGACTTTGATTAGGAAGTGCGTCTCCTAGGGGTAAAATCTCAATTTAGGAAGTGTGCACTTGTCACGATCAACTTGGATTTCAACTTGGAAGATAGTGCTTGCTATCAGCCGACCGCTTTTCCAGACCGCCCTTATCACAAGAAATATTCCTGATTCGTTCAAATCCAATACCTTATGCCTGATACATTGCACTCGTATTCTAACATTCACCAAATCTTTGTATTTTACCTATATCCCAAAGAACATCTATTATCACCAACTCAGTTCACCCACTATTCTCATGCACCTTATGCCAATTTGATGTGCTTTCCAGACATCGGCTTCATGTGATTAAAAAGCCGGTAGCAGATTTTGAAGTCATTTCTCACTTGTTTCGACAAAAATAGGCTCAAAAGTGACTTAAACAAAACAAGAGGAACAAAATAAGTAGAAAAACGAGAAGAAATGGTATCTAACAAGAAAAAAAAACTTTTACCCAAAAAAAGAATAAAGTAGGAACTAATATTATTTGAAGGCCATCTCACTAACCATGACATGTATTTTGGACTAAGCGGCCTGATCTGTTAAGCGAGTCTAATCTTTAACTCTTGTTATGCCTCTAAGCTGTGAAACTGGGCTTCAACGCTCCAATTGTCCTATTTGATCCACAATCCTCAGTTGACTTGTAGTGCCCTGAAGGGTTTTCACCATTAATCCTCTCTCATTTTGCTCTTTTCTCAACGTACCGTCGCCTTAGGGTACGCATAAGGGTTTTCACCGATAAGACTTTCTCATTTTATCATTTTCTCTCTTTGTGCTGAGAACAAAGGTATTACCCATTATGCAGGAAGATCATGCTTTCACCACACACTTGATTTGATATCCTCAAAGATTGGTTGGAAGGTCTTTCGTTAGACCGTAATGTAGGCTTTTGGACATGGTTGGAAAGAAATGGTGGCATGAAGGCTCAAAACAATTTATGATGAAAGGGTTCAAAATTACAACTTTTGGGAAAAGATCTTTTAGCCAAAATTAAAACTTTTGCCCTAGTTTCCTAGGGTCTGGGGAATTTTTTTGATTTTTGTTTTGATGGGACCGAACCTCAGAGTAAAGCTACCTACGTATCCTTAGAAGGAATCAGGTCGAACGTAGTTCAAACACAAAGTTGAATTATTTTGTTGTTTTTCTTTTCCTTTTTTTCCCCTTTTTTTCCTCTGTTTTTCTTTTCCTTTTTTTCCCCTTTTTTTCCTCTGTTTTTCTTTTCCTTTCTTTTTCTTTTTTTTTTCTCTTTTTCTTTTCTAGTTTCTACCTCTACTTCTGATTCCAAAAGAGGCGTATGAAACAAAATAAATTAAGGCTCAAAAGAGGTAGCAAAAAATAAAAGTGTTTGGGTAGCAAAATAAAATGCCTTCGTCATACCAAACTTTAAGAATGCCAAGTACAAACATGCAATCGAAGATAAGCAAAGAAATCATACATAGTATCTATTGATGGCATCAACACAAACAAAAAGTGCCAATGGGCAATACTTTTATCCCAATGAATGACTCTTTCCAGTTCGAAGCAGACTTGACTCAACCTTATTTTTATGTGGAAGAATGCATTTCAGCACTGACTGATCTACCTCAAACTACTTGAGAGACATTTCTTTGTTGTATGCTCTTATCAACCTCTTGATTTCCCAGACTAACTACCTCAGTTTCACTCAGTTCAAGCTTCAGGTTATCTCAAAATGCGTGAATCTTTACTTGTTTCCTCAAATGCATCCTTTTATCATATTCAAAACTGTGTTATTTCTTCATGATTAGACTAACTTTCAAGACCAGGCTGAGAATTATGCCTGTATTTCATGTCACTAAGGTCAGAACTATAAAAGGAAAAGTGACCTAAACAAAAACTGACTAGAACTAGCAGAAAACAGGAGACTGCATTAGATATAAGGTGAAAGGGTTTGAACAGAGAAATAAGCACAACAAAACTTGGGTTACAACCCTAGAACAATCTTAGATAACACTAGACGAGTTACTACGCCAAAACGAACTAGGAAAAATAGAAGGATAGAAGGGTTTGAGTCACAAAACAACATCCAGATTACAACCCTGAAATAACCCGGACAATAGAATTGATAAAATAAACTACCAGGGCTCCTTCATGGCTAACCAAGTAAGGAGTGTCTTTCCAATTACTAAGCTCTACATTTTAGCCAGTGAGTTGCATATCAAAATTACTGGGACTTGTTGGGCCAACTCTTGGGTGTAGTATTGGGCATCATGAGGTTTGAACTGGTGTTCACTATTGGATCTGTGAAGGAGAGGTTGTTGAGAAATTGTGATAATGGGGACAGTGGATATGACAGGAGGACTATTTATTGGGAAATGTAGTTGGAGGACAAACAATAGAGTTACTAGGGAGGTTATAAAAGCTATGATAAGCGGGAAAATCTGGAGAATATGGTGGATCATCTGGCACTATGACCAGGACTCGGGTGAGGGTAGCATCTAGGTGGTGGTGGTGCCTTCCTAGTCATCCAAACTTGATACATGTCCGGCATTGACGGTGACCTAACGTGTGCCTCTGCCTGCATGGGTAGGGGATACCTAAGAGAGTGATATAGACTATAACTACTAGTAAGGAACCATTAATTGAGCAAACGAAGAAGATCGAAGACATGCAGAAACTGCCGAGCTGAATGGAATAGTTGTAGAGCTCTAATGAGACATGACCGCCTTTACATGAAGTGAATTCAGCTAGATCAACTCCAATTGATAAAGGTGAATAAAGCCAAACTGTGAAACTACTAGAAAAAGTTCCAATTACAGAGAAAATTGAGGTTGAAAAGGTGATACAGAGGAAGGAGGTCCAACAGACGGAAGCACCGAAGCTAGCTATGGCGAAGGAAGTCCAAATCCATAAAAAACTAGATGAGGCACATAAGAAGGAGTGGGTGAACCTATTTGCTGGAAACGATTTGGCGTCTAGAGGTATGAACGAATTTATTGCTCCGATGATCAAAAATAGTGAAAAAATAGTTGAAGTAGATATAGATGAGGTTGAGCGAGAAACTTTAAAATGGAAACATGTAATTGTACTGTATGTTGTGGGTGACTCCCCCTTAATTGGTGTTTTTGATTGATTTATTGCTGCACAGTGGAATTTTGTTAGCAAACCAAAAATATACTTCCATAATGATGTGGTTAAGCTCAACAGTGTGGAGGATAGGGATGTTGTGTGGATGTCTGGACCATATACAATAAGAAACAAGCCTATAATTGTTAAAGCTTGGTCGCCTAACTTTGATTTCAGCAAGGAAGTTTTACAGGCTATTCCTATTTGGGTAAAACTACCCAACTTGTCATTGAACTGTTGGAGTATGGATTCACTCAGTAGGATAGGAAATGACTTAGGAATTCCCCTATATACTGATGAATGTACTTCAAAAATTGAGAGGATTTCTTATGCAAGGCTTTTGGTTGAAATGGATATTACAAATGAGATGCCTACTTTTCTAAAAGTTATGGATCCTAAGGGCAAAGTTTTTGAACAATCAATTGACTATGATTGGGTTCCTGAATATTGCCACACCTGCCTTTAGGTGGGACATAGCTGCAGGGCTGCCCAGACAGTTATAGAAGGGAAACAAAAACAACAAAAACTAAGGATGGAGTGGAGAAAAAGAACAGAACCAGGCAAGACTAAAAAGGCTGAAAGTGTTCCAACTAACAATACTGGAAAGGCTGAAAGTGTTCCAACTAATAATGTAATACATGCAAGCAAGATAGGTGATGCTGAGGCTGATCAACTACCAGACTGGGAACTAGCTAAAAGGGAGTATACAACTAAAAATGGGATGGCAAATATAAGAGATGATACTGGTATTAATGTGGTGAATGGATTTAGCTCACTTAGCTTTGAGATAGGGGATATAATTATGGAGAAAAGGCAATGTAGCTACCAGGGTGATACTGGGGATCCTAAGTCTAAACAATCAAACAAATGAGACTTATAGCTTGGAATGTGAGAGGTGTAAATAAAGTTTATAAACAAAAAGAAGTAAATAAGTTCATTGTAAATAATGATGTAGCACTGATAGCTATACTGGAAAACAGAGTAAAGGAAGATAATGCTAGCAGAGAAACACAAAAAATTGCAACTAACTGGAAATGGTGTGCAAACTATGTACATAGCTCAAAAGGAAGAATATGGGTTATTTGGGACCCAAACAGACTGGAGTTTGAAGCTACTAATATGAGTTCTCAGGCTATTCACAGAATCCTTAGCATTCCTCATTTACATCTAAAATTGCACTTGACAGCAGTTTATGGTTTGCATACTATTGAGGCAAGGAAGGAGTTATGGGAAGAGTTGAAGGGGGTGAGTATGTCAGTCCAAATGCCATGGTTAGTCTTTGGGGATTTCAATGCTATAACTGATATAGAGGATAGGCAGTTTGGCAACCCAGTCCAGGAGAATGAAATAAGGGATTTTATTGACTTTATACAAGCTAGTGGCATGACAGAGTTACGAGCAATAGGAAGGAAATATACTTGGTCAAATGGACAAATCTGGAGCAGGATAGACAGAGCTCTTGTGAATGCAGAATGGTTGATGACAGTTGCTATTACTGAAGTAATGATCTTAAACCCTGGGATTTTAGACCATACTCCGCTAAGTTTCAACTAAAAAATGATGTGCATAGAAGTCCAAAGCCTTTTAGATTCCTGAACTGCCTTGTAGATCACACAAACTTCCTAAAAGTGGTGGCTAATACTTGGTGCAAAACTACAGAAAAGCAGAACATGCATGACATATGGTGGAAGCTTAAAGCAATGAAGAAAGAGTTGAAACAACTGAATCATATAGAATTCAGAAATGTAGGGGAGAAGATTAAGTTCTATAGACAAAATTTGCAAGATATTCAAACAAAAAGGGGCCATCACACTCAACTAGATCTATTGTTTGAAGAAGAGAAAGAAGTGAAGGTTAAACTAGAGAAATGGAGCCTAGTGGAGGAAAGTATTCTGAAGTAGAAGTCTAGGAACTAGAGATCTACTGTTTGAAGAAGAGAAAGAAGTGAAGGTTGAACTAGAGAAATGGAGCCTAGTGGAGGAAAGTATTCTGAAGTGGAAGTCTAGGGACAAATGCAGCTAGTATCACAGGTAACTCAAGATGAAGTATTTCAAGCCCTTATGATATTGATGATCATAAAGCTCCCGGATGTGATGGATTTAATGCACTCTTTTTTCAAGAAAGCTTGGGGTGTGATTGGAAGTAATGTTAGTCAAGCTGTCCTTCAGTTCTTCATGGAAGGAGATATATGCAAAGCAATAAACTGTACAACAATTACATTAATCCTAAAGATTAAGAACCCCACAAGAATATCAGAATTCAGGCCAATAGCATGCTACACTATGCTATATAAGCTGAGCTCTAAAATCCTTACCACTAGGATGCAAGGGGTGATGGACAGTCTTGTGGATAAAAGTTATTCTTGGAGATTAATCAGAGACAATATCCTTTTGAGTCATGAACTGTGTCACACCTCCTTTTTACCTTCACCCCCGGGAGGGTATGAGTATAAGGGAGTTTTTCCAATTAAAGGACAATCGAAACATGATTTATTATAAAAGGATTCAGAGTCGCCACTTGAGAGATTTATGGTGTCCTAAATCACCGGTTGAATTCCGAATCGAGGAAAAGCTTGACTTTGTTTAACAGTCCGCGAACCAGAAATCCGGGTAGGACATTCTGTTAACTCGGGAGAAGGTGTTAGGCATTCCCGAGTTCCGTGGTTCTAGCACGGTCGCTCAACTATTATAATTGGCCTATTATCTGATTTTTAATACATGTTCTAACCTATAGTATATTTTAACCTATTTAACCGCTTTTATTTAATTATTTTTAGGAAAGATTCAACGTCATCTAAAACACATCTTGAACCACGTCACATAAATGTACCCACGGTCCCCGACACATTTTACCCAACGTTGTAAGATTTTGACTTGGGTCACATAAATGCACACCCGAGTTCGAAAATTAGGTGTCATGATCACGTCACGGGAACCATACCCGTAGCTATGACAAATTAATATAGCATGCCTAAAGCAAACTATTATAGAGTATTAAATATAAAAAGTATGCTAGTTTTATGACTTATTAGCGATATTCCCGTACCCACTTATCCCTTGAATTTTAGAAATAAACTAGATTAAACAGTTGAAAGCACACCATGAATCCTTAAACATAATGAACAGTTATTTTTCACAGCTAAAGCAATTTTTTTTTGCCCAAAACTTTGGTAACACATATGAATTAGTTTTCATTGAATCATGCAATTTATGAACCTTCATAATGGACAAGATGCAATAACATGGTTATGATTTTGAATTCTTGCTTTCTTTGTTAATTATAAATTTTATTTCCAGCGCAAGGTGTTACCAACAACAATTTGAAATATAATTCAGCAAATGAAGTCAACATGGGTATGAAATCTGCTAATCAAACTAACCAAGAAACTCAATAACTGAATAAGAACAAACATTCCGAGAAACCCATGTCGTTCACACAGATTTCACACAAAAAACAAATATATATTCATAAACATTGTAACAGAACAAAACAAAATGGAAGCAGCACACACACGCCATTGTGTAAACTAAAATCGAGCAGAAATTCATTCTATATCAAAATACACGATGACAAATCACTACCAATTAATAAGTAACAAGTTTTATAAATAGACCTCAAACCGCTAGAACCCGGACGAAACTCGAACCGGAAACCGGCGACAGTACCTCGACGTACGACTGGAAAAAACTCCTTGAACGACAACCTCCGGCGAACTCGAAGCTCGCCAGAAAACTCAAACTAAACCAAAAAGACAAAGTCGACAGTCTCCATAACAGTGACTCGCGATTCGGAGCTGTTTCGGGCTATTTCACATTGTTTCGGTGGAGGTTTCGAGCAGTGGAGCGAGGGTACTGAGATTCACTCTATTTACTCTGTTTCTGTGATGTGAAGAAGATGATGACGGGTGAGATTAGCTCTCGTTCCTCGTCTTTTGTCTCTGTTGCTGTCCGTTTTCCCAACCCCTGCTTTCCCTCGTTCCTCTCGTCTCCCTGTAGGTGTGTTGTTTTGTGAATGTCTGCATTTTTTCCAGCAGAAGAGGATACAGAGCTGCTAGTTCTCTTTTGGGTTCTAGTTAGGTGGAAGACGACCCCCGTATGAGTGTTAGCTGCTGGTGAAGAAGGGTTTCTTAGATGGGATAAGGATCGTGTCTCCTAGGGTGCTGAAAATGAATGGTCACGGCGGTTGGTGTGCTGAAGCCAAATGAGTCGATGGTGGGGGAACAAGCAGATGAGATCGTGAGTGGGGGGGTCTGCGATGAAGATGATCCGAGGGGGGGAGGGGTCTTGTTATGCGCAGGTTTCAGCTTTCCCTCCTTCAGCCCTGTTCTCTTTGCTTTTTTAAGCATTAATTTATAGGTAGAGTCTAGGTTTAGGTGTATTTTTGTGTATTTTGCCCATTAGTACCTAGGTCTTTTGTGTTAAGTTCTTAGGGTCTTCTTTATTTGTTTTTTTTATTCCAAAGAAAAGTCTAGAAGGGTCCCTAGACTTAATGGACTAATCCGAATTGGGCCAAGAATTGGGTTCTAAAACTCTTAAAATTATGATTCAACACCTTAATTGACTCATTTTAATGTAAGACAAAAATATTACCCCATGCCAAAGGCTAACATGAAACTATTATATATTTTTTATTTTCAAAATTATATAAAGATAAAAATAAGTATCATTTTTGTATATTTTTATTTAAATTTATGAAAGATACATAAGCTAAAAATATATTTTTTCGTAATTTTCCATTTTTATGACGAAAATAAAGTAAAGAAGTTAAAAATAGCTGAAATAGCTATATTAGACCTAAATTAAATATTTACATGCTAAAATATAAAAAATCTTGGGGAGGGTCAAAAATCATATGTCTACAGCTGCCCCTCTTTGACTGGAAAAGCGAAGTGTTTTCAGACAAAGAATGACTAGACAGGTTTTTGACCCGACCCTTATTTGGGAGAGACTAAAGTTAAGAGAAAGGAGGAATGTGACCGAACCCTGGTATCTGAGCTGCCTACATATCCTTGCCTATAAAGGAATCAGGCCACGTGTAGTTCAGAGATGAGTGAGATGACGGAGTATGTCGAGGTGGAGATCCGGTCGAGGTGCCATTCCGCCGAGGTTCCGGTCCGCAGTTCCTGTTATTACATCAAAAGAATCAAATGAAAAAGACTAACTAAACCTGTCAACTACGAGTTACAAGATTCCTATCTATAAGTCTTCTAAAGTTTGATCTTGTGTCTTGAATGGTTCTTCATGCAAACTTTAGATTTGAACCTTGGCGCTTGTTAGCTGCAGGTGCTAGCTCGTTCTTCTACAGCTTTTTGGATCAAGACCGGCCATGTAGTACTTGTGACTTCCACTGTGTCTTAAGCAGTTCACATCTTCCATCACTTCTGCATTTGGATTCACTTCTTGCCTTTCTCTCTTTTTTTCTTTATTGTGACTAACTTCTATTGATCACCTCGGACTGTTGACTCGCATTTTTGCCGCGGGCTCCTTTTGTTGCTGACTTGAATTGTAATTTGAGATGCTTTCCCTTTCTCCAGGTGGATACCTGATTGCTGAACTCGAATTGTACTTTGAGAAGCTTTCCTTTCCTCCAAGCGGACGCTTGACTGCTGAACTTGAATGTATTCCCTGCTCTCCAGGCGGGCTCCTAATTGTTGAACTTGGAATGTATTCCCTGCTTTCCAGTCGGGCTCCTGACTGCTGAACTTGAAATGTATTCCCTGCTCTCCAGGCGTGCTCCTGATTGCTGAACTAGAAATGTATTCCCTGCTCTCCAGGCGGGCTCCTGACTGCTGAACTTGAAATGTATTCCCTGCTCTCCAGGCGGGCTCCTGACTGCTGAACTTGAAATGTATTCCCTGCTCTCCAGGCGGGCTCCTGACTTCAACAGAATAGACAAAACAAAAAAACATTCTGCCCCAGTTTGGGTATCTGGGCACATATGTAAGTGTAAAACGAACCACATTACCAAATATCAATAAGAACTTGAAAGCTAAAACTTGAGTTATACTCCCTTGTTCTCCAGGTGGGCTCCTGATTGCTGACTTGAAATGTATTCCCTGCTCTTCAGGTGGGCTCCTGACTGCTGAACTTGAATGTATTCCCTGCTCTCCAGGCGGGCTCCTGACTGCTGATTTGAATGTATTCCCTGCTCTCCAGGCAGGCTCCTGATTCCTGAACTTGAAATGTATTCCCTGCTCTCCAGGCGGGCTCATGACTTCAACGAAATAGACAAACAAAGAAAATTTTCTGCCCCAATTTGGAGGTTGGGCACAGATGTAAGTGTAAAACTAAATCATGTTACCAAATAAGAACTTGAAAGCTAAAACTTGAATTGTACTCCCTTGTTCTCCAGGTGGGCTCCTGATTGCTGAATTGAAATGCATTCCCTGCTCTTCAGATGGGCTCCTGACTGCTGACTTGAAATGTATTCCCTGCTCTCCATGCGGGCTCCTGACTGCTGACTTGGAATGTATTCCCTGCTCTCCAGGCGGGCTCCTGACTGCTGACTTGGAATGTATTCCCTGCTCTCCAGGCGGGCTCCTGACTGCTGAACTCGAAATGTATTCCCTGCTATCCAGGCGGGTACCTGATTTCAACAAAATAGACAAAACAAAGAAAACTTTCTACCCCAGTTTGGTAGCTGGGCACATATGTGAGTGTTAAACTGAATCATATTACCAAATATTACTAAGAATTTGAAAGCTAGGTCCCATTATCCAGGGGGATCCTGACAACTCTTAACTAAACGACAATTTTAAATTTAAGCTATATCTTTTAAAGGCATGACTTCCGCTACATCTTGTTATCTAAGAAGGTCTTGAACTACTCCCCATTATCCAGGAGGGTCCTGAAAATCAAAGGTCAAGTTTTATCTTAAGGGTGACAACTTTCATGGCTGAATT